GGGGCTTTGTCCCTGCCAGCCTTGCGCGCTTTGTGCGCGCCGACTCCCGCCGCGCTCTCTCCTGGCGCGGTGTTTGTGGCTCTCCCCCTCGTTGCGCGCACCCTGTCAAAGTTCCCCGAGCCGGGCCTGACCTCTTTAGCCTCTGCGATCTCTCCCGACCCCGTCCCCACCGCCTTAGGGACACGCCATCCGGAGGTGACAGGTCACTTCTTAAACCCTTTTGCTGTTCGAACCGCGCTGCTGTGCCTGCGCTGAATTGCATTTCGCTTTCCGTGAGATCCCTTTTTTTTAAAAAAGAAAGAAAGAAAGAAAAAAAAACTACGATTGCTTTTAAAAAATAAAAAGTCTCCAAACTAACTTCAGGAAAAGGTGAAAAACGTAGCCGGGCAGTGCTAGGCTCTCTGCCTTCCCGTCGCCAAGAGCCTTGCCGGCGGTTACACCTGTATTAGCAGATCGATCCGCTCTCCTCCACGCATCCCTAACATGCCTGATGTAAATTAAATGCTCTGCTTTATTTAAGTTAACGTCTTTACAGAAGCGAACTATTGAGCCGGACAGTCTGTCAGAATTTGCTCCTGTAATCTAATATTGCAAGAGGGAAGTTCAGTGCTATTACAGCTCTTTTTTTTTTTTTTTTTTTTAGTTCTTTTTTTTTTTTTTTTTTTTTTTTTTTTTTGACAATCATTTCGATTTGGCTTTCAGCCGCTTCCTTTCCTTTGCGATAACCCCGGATTAATTTGATTTCTAACGTGCTAGGAGAGGGCCCAGGAGAGGGGTCGGGAGGAAAGCAGCCCGCCCGTATCATTCCCTGCGTAGCCCCGGTTTGCGATTTTGATGTACCCTCAAGTGTACTGGAAAAGCGTGAAAAAAAGCGTGAAAAGAAGCGTGTGCTCCTACCCGGACCCCCTTCTCTAAAACTGCCCTAAACCCCAGACTTAGACAAGGCCTAATCTTCTCCCAGTACATTTTTTTTCTCCTTCGCAATTCCTTGTCTTTCTCTATTAAAATCGGCGGTTCGTGAGATCTGCAAAACAGTTTTGCAAAGGACTTCGGGGGTTAGGGAGTTCGGGTCCGGTGATTTCAGGGGGATTTGGGGCGAAAAATGATGATCAGGGAAGGGAAGGTCCTTCGGCCTCGATCATCTTCCTGATTTCCCACCTCCCGGCGCTCGGCCCCCTCGGAGCCGGTGTGAGAGCAAGGGGCAAAGACCGATTCTCCCGCAAGAAGCCCGTCTGTCCGTGAAGGGTTTTGACACTAGAAGCAGCTCCTCGATTTATTATTATTGATATTACGGGTGGGGTGAACTGGAGAAAGAGCTGTAAAAGTTAGATTTTTGAGCAACACGGAGAGGGAACCGTCTGCAAGTGATGATTTTTGTTCGACGTTGGCCAGAAAATGGAGGATAAACAGAAAAAAAAAAAAAAAACAAACCCCAACATATCACTGCGGCGAATGCTTGAGGACTGGCACGGGATAAAGGCAATTACAGGGTCTGCGGTGGCGACGGTCCCTGCTTCTTACCGGAGTTTGGCAGTCACTTGGGGGATGGCGAGGGAAGAAGCCTGTGAACGCTTGGATGTATTCCGGGGGAAATATTTGTCCGGGATTTAATTTAAAAGCATGTTTTTGCGGTTTCCCCCGTGCGTAGCTGAGGTCGGGACGGGTCGGGCGAACGGGGCAGCCGGAGAAGGCGCTGGGACCGGGAGCGATCCCCAGAGCCACGATCGCCCTGGTAAACCCCATCCCTCCTGGAAGGACCCCCCTCCTAGCTGGGTCTTTGGAGAGCTTCGCTGTGAGAAAAGAAATAGGTTGCGTTTTAAAAGAGAGAGTGGAATAACGGGGTGACCGGTAGTGAATTTAGGGTCGATTTAGTGTAGGTTGAATTTAGTGTAGTTTTAGGAGTGAACCGACTGTCACAGTGAGCACATTAATTATTAAAATGCCTTCGTGTGATCATAAGACGGTATTTGACAAGTTGTTTTCTAAGAGGGCTTTATTTTTCTCTTTCAGTATCTAGAAGAAGAGTAGGGAGAGAAGTTTAACTATTTCCCCTGTAGCTGTTTTCTCCCTCCCTTTTCTGAACTTTTGAACGCTTTCCTCGTGGGATTTTTTTCCTGGACCAGTTTATTTTTAAAAATAAAAGAGGAAAGTGAAAGGGGTCCAGAAAACACGGTATGCAAATACTGACAAGCGTTTAAACCAGACACTACAGCACGTACAAAATTTAGCAGCCTCTTAAGACCAGCCAGTGTGTCATTTTCTGTACCAAGCTGGGGAGCCAGGGTGACTTGTCGTATGCCCCCGGAGTGATTCGAAACACAGCCAAATTGCTAAGCTTTTGAAGTCAGCTGACACTTTTTAATAATTCTTTAAATTGCAAAATTATTAGTGAAATGCAGAATTAATCTAAAGGCAAGTCAGCAAATGCCATCCTGGGCACATGTGCCTAACCTGCTTGGGGTTATAAGGCGAGTACAAAAGGTAGTAGATTTCCTGACTTGTATTGGCTACAGATGTTGCAGCTATGTGTTTGGTGTTTGGGTTTGTTTTGTTTTGTTTTGTGTTTTTTAATTGGCAAATGTCATAAAAGCTAAATGTTGAATAAAAAGTGCACTGCTTTATTCTTTTTTTGATACTTGTTAAAAAACAGAAAATAGTCCTTGAAAAGAAAAGTTATTAAGCAGAGGAAAAACTTGCTCTTGAAGCAGAAATAGCAAGAAAAATGCCCAGTTATCTAAACCACAAAAATTATCAGACCCACTTCTTCAGCTGTCAGAAAAAAGATAGGGTTGACTTGTTGCTCTTGGTGGAGAAATCCTGGAACGGGGCTGGGCTGGGCTTGTCTCTTGCACCACTGTCCTTTTGTGGATCTCCTGCTTTTGCGTATATGTTTGTCCTATGCTTTGCTGGAGTTACTGCTCCAGTTCTGCAGCTAGCAAGACAGTTGTTTTGTGTGCTCTAGACCCCTGTGATGTGACTCCTAAAGCAATCTGCTATGTGTGTATTTGTGAATCCTTTGTACCCTGTTTGCCTACAAGCTGTCCTTTTGAAATTTCACTTACCAGGACATCTGCTGAAGTACTATGAACAAAAATTTGGCCAGAAAAAGATTTCCAGAGCCACTTGCAAAAGGATCCCCTGTTTTGAGGGTATTGCCTGGCAGGACACTTCCTTCACATACCCCTCCCTTCCCGCCCCAGCCCTCTCAAGCGCGGCAATCTCTCCAGAGCACCCAGGTCTCCCTGCTTTTGTGATAACCAGCCTTTCCCTTCCTTGCAGGACACCTGAGCCCCACTGCCTGCACCCTGAGGAAGCACAAGACGAATAGGAAGCCCCGAACCCCGTTCACCACTTCCCAGCTGCTGGCTCTGGAGCGCAAGTTCCGCCAGAAGCAGTATCTGTCCATCGCGGAGAGAGCCGAGTTCTCCAGCTCCCTCAACCTCACAGAGACCCAGGTCAAAATCTGGTTCCAGAATCGGAGGGCCAAGGCCAAGAGACTGCAAGAGGCTGAGCTAGAGAAGCTCAAAATGGCAGCGAAGCCCATGTTGCCGTCAGGGTTCAGCCTCCCTTTCCCCATCAACTCTCCCATCCAGGCTGCCTCACTGTATGGAACATCCTACCCTTTTCACAGACCTGTGCTTCCTATCCCGCCCGTTGGACTCTATGCTACTCCCGTTGGATATAGCATGTACCACTTATCCTAAGAAGATCAGAAAGACAAAGTGACAGTGAGACAGACTTCTTGGTGGATCATGTCCAACCCTGAGAAGGCAGTACCCCAACCAGTACTGGCCGTTCTTTCTGCACGCTTCTATCTGCCAGCTTGAGTGTATGGGAGTTTGCGTTAGCAAGCAAGGCATCCTGTATGCCACAGGTTGGGTGTCTTCTGAGACTGCTCTGAGCGCTCAGAGTCTGATCCTCAAAGAAAAAAAAAATATGTAAAAACAAACAAACAAAAGAAAAAACATTTGAGCAAATGTAGGGTTTTTATACAGTGCACGTAAAGCTAGAATAAAAAAGAATGGGTGAAAAGCAATCTCATCTTATGGAGGCAGAGATTTCCTGACGCCTTCCTGATAGGGCCCAACACATGTTTAAAGAGGGGTGCATGCCCTAAACCCACACTCTAAGTTGCCATCACTTAATATGAGGGCGGGGGGGGAGGGAAATAAAAAGGTGTAATCAAGGTTTTGTTGTTTGAGTTTTTTTTTAAAGAAAGCAGAGCCCATAGCTAGGGACACCGTGTAAATAGAAACTAGACCCAGTAGAGTCTGAGTGAAGTTCAGAGCCAGCAAGTTCCTGCATTTCTGGGGGTAGGGGAAAATTTTGCATCCCAAACCTTGACAGATGCTTGCAATAAGATGAGCATCAGGGCCCCTGATTGTAGAGCACAGCTTTATCCACCGTTGGCTCCTGTAATGTCTTTATCTGTATAAATAGCTTCAGCGTTTGTAAAGCACTGTGAGGGGAGGTAAAGTGCAAGGGAGGGTTATTAAGCAGTCTGGTCTTTATCTCTTCCTATTGGCATGCTTAGAAATTTTTGGCTGCAGTCAGGTAATCTTAGCTCTGCAACGCTCTTTGAAAACCAGGAGAGAGGGAAGGAAGCTTTCTGGGGAAAGAAGACGTGTGTTGTTTCCATAGTGGTGGTGAGCAAAGGATTGTTGAACGCTTCTGGGAGATGTTTGGGGTTTTTTTATTAGTATTTGCAACAATCTGTATTAAATAGAAGAACCCCTCGGGTCTTCCTCTCCTTCCCTTGCTAAGGATGCCAATGTGAGTGGCTCAAGCTTCAAACCCTTCTTAAGAAAGATCCAGGTATCACAAACAAACAATGCTACAAGTAGGACGGTGGGGTACCAAGAGACTGCGTAACCTGGCTGTCCCCATGGGAGCTCCCCGAGCACTGGCGGTATCTTCCCCAGGCTTCTCCTTATAACTATTGTATTATTTGTATTACTCTTCCTAAACTTTGTGAGAAAGTTACTCCGAAGGCTGTGGAGCACTGAAGGCAGAGCTTCTCCTGGATTTATTTTCTTAGCATGTTGTTGTGGAAGAAAGAAAGAAAGAAACAAACAAAAAAACAGCAGAAAAATGAAAGGAAGTCACGAAGTTTTGCTGGTTTTGGTTTGTTTTGACCCAGGCACTGTCACCGCCTGGGATCCACTATAGATGAACGTCCCCTCTCCCTTTCCCTCACCCCCAATCTTCCATTATAGGAAAGTCCCTTTGAAAGGGATGCCTTGTACAATTTTATATATTTTATTGAAGATTTATTATTTCTTATCTCTTATTTCGAATTAAATTAAAAAAGAAAAAACATGTTTAATCACGTGTGGGTCTGTGAGTGTTTGGAGTTCTTTAAGAAGCAATTTCTCTCCGTGTGTGTTTTGCACCGCTGGGTCAAGTTCAAAGGAATGTTTGGGTTGCCTTTATGATTATTTCCCCTTTCTGAATCTGAATTAAAGCCAAATTTGCAGCACATGAAGGTGAATTGCAAGTCAACAATTCAAAGTCGAAAGCCAAACCTTTTATGAGGTTTCCTTGTTTTTAACAACCGCTTTTAGGCGCCTCTGTTCTTTACAACATCATACTCCGGTGATGTTTCCATCACTTTTCTTAGCTCGTGTGCCTTTCTCTTTTGCTCAAGACTCTCCCTCCGACTCACCTTTCCCTTGACCTCAAGTCTGTGCTTTAGTGAGAGACTAGTCTCGACCCCCGCAGTAGTTGGGGGTAATTTTGTACAGGTAAGACCTGGCAGGGACCCTGCAATACTTCAGTACAGTTGCCTTTCAGGGGCTCCCATGTGCTGGGGGCTTGTCCCATAGTTTTCAAAGCAGCCTTCCTCAAGGTGATGGGCTGCCCGGAGAGCAGATGCTGGACCCCCCGCCCCAGCCTTTCTGGCGAAGGAGGAGGGGGGCTCCGGTTTGCTCAAATAAGAGGGGTACCCGGGAGGTCAGGGGTAGTTTTCCTTGTTACACCCAAGTCCCACGCTGGCCCAGTGTAAATTTGGTTGTAGGAGGCTTATCGGGATTAGGAGTGACCTTTGGGATCGCAGGTGGAGAAAAAGGGAGATTTGCCTCTGTTGAAAGAGCCGGGCGATGTAACTCGGCTACGCTCTCAGCTGGGCAGAGCCGAGCTTTCCTCTGCTCCAGCGCCGGTCCCAGCCTCGCAGCTCTCCCGAGGGCGGATCGCTCTCCCGGCCCACGCCGGTGGGCAGCACCGCGGCCGCGCTTCCCGGCGGGAGCGGCCT